GTCTCTTGCAGTTTTTCTGTAAAGTTCATAGTATTTGAATAAAAAATTATTCAAGACCAATATTTTGCAATTTTTAGTAATTAATATATTGTTAACTATTGCGAAAATTGCAAAATGGTAGAGGACTTTTCGACTCAGTTTAGTCCACTCTATCTACACAAAAGTGACTGTCAAAAAAGGTCGGGACACCCTGTATATAATAGTTCAACATCTTAACATTCAGACCGTAGTGGCGCTTCGTATTTAAAGTAATAAAAAAGTTTCTAACATAAACGGTCTTATTTCCAATCTTATTAATATTTATATATATTTATGCACGAAAAATTTTTTACCGGGTACGTAGGACACAAGACGCAGGACGCGAAAGTTGAAGTTCACCCAACTTTCTGCGTCCTGCGTTCTGCGTCCTATAATTATATTATAATTAAAATATGTTAAGCCCATTCTACATAAGACGTAGAACACGGGTCGCAGGTCGCAAAACTAGAAAATAACCTCACATATATTAATTATGATATGATTGTAGAACGAAGAACCCAGAATGCAGAAAGTTGTGTGAACTTCAACTTTCACGTCCTGCGTCTTGCGCCCTACGTATTGCGGCCTGCGACTTATTTCAAGTAAAATGCGTTTCACTTGCGATCTGCGACCCGCATTCTGCGTCTTATATATGTAGATTGAGCTTTACTATTGTATATAATTAATAAGAAAGTAGTTTTTAATAATAAAATTTAACGATAAAGGAGCATAAAACTACTGCACAGGTTGTTTTTTGTAATATTTAATATATTACAGAGAAACGATGTTTATCTGCTTCTTTTAAAAAGAGATCTCTCTCTTACTAAAGAATAATTCGAGAAAATTCTCAACTTTTGCGCACATATAAATATCCGACACATAACAAAGTAACGACAAACAAAATTTACACGATATCACGACAGTCCATCTGTTCGTTATGTTACATTGTCTACGATGACGCACTAAGTTCGCCGAATTGCTAAAAAAAAAACAGGTAAAGAATTGTAAATTTCTAATAATTAGATTAGAATAAATTAATAATAGCATATTCGTTTTATATTAAAATATGGAATTCTCGTTCTATACAATTCGATACATTTCATTGCTTGCTTCATCAATCACGTATTATGGTCTCACGAACAGATGAGAGAGAGCGTAATTTTTAATTAAAATATATGACTGCGAATTTTATTGTTTAAATTTATGTAA